CCCTTCACAGGTCCTGACGCCTCTGACCTGACTGTGGAAGTGCCACGCCCTGCCCCCGCACCCTCGAAAGAGGCGGGAATGGTGGACGCTTAGTCCGGGACAGGCACTGGCAGCTGGTGTCTGGAGAAGAAGGCAGCTGCGTCCCTGATCCCAGCCTGTCCCCCTTCTCTTTCCACTCTTCTCCCTAGGATCCCCCCAGCCCAGGCTCGCCGGAGCCATCGCCGCGCGGTGGAATTCCCCCAACGGTGCCCCCCCACCTGGAGAGGGAGGGGGAGGGGAGCAGGCCCAGGCAGGCGTGGGGGGAAATTCCCCGCCCCCTACCCCTGGGCCCGACTCCTCCGAGTCCTCTGATCTCCCAGTGCCGCCCGCCGGCTGCCCCCAGGGCTTGGGGGTAGGCCAGCGCAGGTGCGTGGGAGGGCGGGGGCGGGGGCCAGGGAGGAGCTGGGTGGTGGCCGGGGGCCCAGAGCGGCCCTGCCCCGCCCCGATCCCTTGCCCCTCAGTTCAGCCTCCCCACTCTTCACCAGACCTACACCAGGCTGTCCAGCCTGAGAGGACTGGTTTTTGCCCTCTCAGTACCCACTACACAAGATGCGGGGTGCAGGCAGGATTCTAGAAAGGCTGAGGTGCCGCTGATGGTGATGAGTCCTGTGGAGACTTGGAAATTAGTGCCTCACACCCAGGTTCTTGGGTCCAGGAGTGGGTGGCGCACAGGGAAGCTTTCAAAGGAGGCGGGCTTGATGAGCCGCCTCCTGCGGGAGCCCAGTCAACAGCCAGACTGGCCTCAGCTCCCCTCCGTTTCCTGGCCCCACCCAGCACTTGACTGGTAACTGGTGACTGGGTAGCCACCCCTTGACCTGGTCCCCTTCTCTGTCTGTTCAAGAGCAACAAGGTTGTGAAGGCTCCAGGGGCATTGTCCCAGGCTCTGGCTCACAGAGAGTACCACAGAGAGTATCTAAGGCCTGGGTGATGGGGTGCATGGCAAGCCTCACCTCTCACAGTCACAGCCTGCCAAGGAAAAGGTAAGATGGGGGACAGGGACAACCAGGACCCTATGTGCAGAACAAAGGTCAGTGAGATGAGTGGAGGAGGAACTGGCCCCTTCTCTTGCTGGAGGGTGGACCAAAATGGATTGTCCATTTGGTCAACAGCACTTTGACCCCCCACTCTCCACTGCCTCAGTCTCCTGCATAGGGGGTGTCGGATGAGAGGGAGGTGCTCAGTTCCAGGACTCCAGCACTGAGATGAGGGGCATTGTCCCCACTGCAAGCTCCAGTCCCAGGTGGCTCATGGAACCTCTAAGCTTCCTTACTCCCTGCTGAAGGGCCCCAAAAGACTGGGGGTTTAAACAACGGAAATTTATTGTCTTATAGTCTGGAAGCTAGAAGTCCGAGATCAACATGCCAGTAAGCTTGGTTCCTTCTGAAAGCTGCCAGGGAGAATTTGTTCAATGCCTCTCAATTAGCTTTGGTGATTTGCTGGCCACCATTGGCATTCCTTGGCTTGCAGATGCATCACCCTGATCTCTACCTCCATCTTCACATGGTATTCTCCCTGTGTCTGTGTCCAAATTTCCCTTTTTTATAAGAATGTCACTCATATTGGATTAGGGCTCACCCTACTCCAGTATGCCCTCATCTTAACTAATTATATCTGCAATGACCTACTGAGTGAGTCGTGTGGTATGTGCATTCCATCTCAATAAAACTTATACTAAAAAAGAAAGAACTAGGCACGGTGGCACTGGTGGGCACTGACAACTGATGTGGTGGGGAAAGAACTAGGCACGGTGGCACTGGTGGGCACTGACAACTGATGTGGTAGGGACAGGCAAGGCAGTGTCAAAGACAGCTCTGGGTTTTTACTTGTGTGGTGGGACCATCAGATGAGGAGGAAAACAGGTAGAAACTCCCTTTTGCTGCCTGTGCCTGGTGCCCAGGGGACACCCAGGGCCAGGGCCCTGGAGGCAGCTGGACACACAGGTTTGGTTCCAGAAAGGAGGGCCAGGCTGGTGCTGCAGAGTGACAAACCATGAACCCTGAAAGTGGCTAGGCAGAAAAGGGCTGAGGTCGAGCCTCCAGAATACCAACCACCAGGCTTATAGGTTGGTGGGAGCAGAGGAGCCCTTGAGGGGGGCTGGGAGTGTAGGCATGGAGCAGGTGGGGAATCTAAAAGAGGGATCAAGGAGGGGGCGGTCAGCGCTAGAGATTGAGCTCTGAGAAGCACCTGCTGACTTTAGTGACAAGGAGGTCCTTAGTGCCACCCTGCAGAAGCTTTCTTGACAGAGGACATGGGGACAGAAGGCTGGGTTAGGGCCAGAAGGGGGAGTAGGGCCATGAGAAGCATTTCTGTGATGTTCACTTTACAACCTTAGGGACAAGGACTGGAGGCCTGAGCTCCTAGAGCTGGCCACTGCTACCATTTTAAAATTTGAGTTCTTTGTTGATACCTTTGCTAATCTTTGTGAACTTTTTATTTCAAATTTCATAATTGAGACATTGTTGCACGCTGTCATATAAAGGGGCTTAGATACCACCTGTGCCACATGGAGCAGATATAAAATAGGGTTTATTCAGGGAAACTAGCAGCAGAGTGGGAGCAGGGAAGGAGGGCACAGCCCCTCTAAGATGTTACTGTCTGCAGAGGGGCCAGCTTCCAAAAGAGGCATCCACCCCATGCACTTTGTTCTGTGACAGTGATGTGGCAGGGAACATCTCTTTGGCTCTGAAACTGTGGAGGAAGTGGACTTAGGAGGGGGACACTTCTGGAGTTCAGTGGCTGAGTGGCAGTGGGGCTACCCAAGGTGACAGCGTGTCCAAATTCATGTCTATTTGGGTATCCTCAATTCGAGCAACAAAGACCATCCATCTGTCCTCTAAGGTCAAAGCAGCTGCAGAGAAGAGAAACAGTATACCGGCCCTGCAAGGTGAATGTCCAGGAGGGAAGAAGCCTGCATCCTCCTCTGATTCTTCCCACCACGCCCTAACTTCTAGGTGCCTAGAGCCCAGCCAATGTGTTGGCCGTGGGACTTGGGACTAGGGAAGTTGTGGGCCCTGAAGAGGCCCCACAGAGGAGGCTGCAAAGCAGGTAGACAGTGCAGGCTCTGCAGGTGGCAATGCTGTGACTCAGTGCTTCTCACCAGGCACCTTAGGCCTGTGTAAGTTTCTCCTATTTTCAACCACGTGGCACTGGCATATATGGAGTGTGTGGCCAGCTGTTGTTGCACAAGGAATGTGGACACACACACCAGCTCTACGTGGTGAGATATAAAAGTTTTATTGGAGGAAATGGATAAGCTGAGGGACAGTAGGGCACACCTGAGGTGTCACTGTCCCATAGGTAGATGGCAGACTCTGTGGCCAGCTTGGCAGGAGGGAGCCTGTCATGTGCGCTTCCTCTGCAATTATAGGGTGGGGGCAAGGAGCCTTGCTGTTGAGGACGAGGCTTTGTTAGCAAGCAGCAGCCTCTGGAGTTCCTGGGGACATTAGCCTGCTTTTCTTGGACCTGTTAGGCAAGCTCTCTGCCGTACTACCAGACTAGAGAAAGGGATGTGCCTCCACTGCCTTCTGGGTCTGCCTCTCCTTGTGATCCAGGACACGGCTGGCCTCAGCTAGGTAGAATCTGCTCAGTGTGGCTTCCTGCAGACATCTGGACTGGCTCTCATTGCCAGAACCGACACCTGCTGTGAGGATCATGGACACTGGGTTTAATTTAAGTTGGAAAACAGTGAGGGACAGAAAGTCGAAGAGTGTAGTGGGGCCTCTGGTTTGACCTGCTCTGTTTCTGTAAGGGATGGCCATGCCCCAGCAGCAGGTGGCCAAGGGGCACAAAGGCCCACCTAGCATCTGTCCAGAAAACACGTGGGCTACTGGAGCTACGTAGAGCAGCTCAGCTCAGCTACAAGAAACAGGAACTTCCCAAGCGTGCTTTGGCCAAAGCAGGGCCATACCCAACTGGAAAGTCCTTTGGCAAAGTCGTGTGCTCTGAAAATGGAAAGGTGTTTGTGGCTCAGGGTGGCAGAGCAGGGAAGAGTGACTTTGAGAAAAGATGCTTCTTCAGTTCTTTCAGAAGTCAGGCCTTCTCCACATCACGCACACCTGCAAGCCGCCAGCTCCCAGTGCTCTTTTTCGCTTTGCCCGCACAAAGACATCATCAGGGTATTCCTCCTGGGAGGCCTCTTGAGGAAGTGCAAAGGTCGTCGATGCTTTTGAAAGAGTGAAAGAGAGATTTTGTCCAGCAGCAGCTAACCAGGTGGGAAGCACTGGGATCTCATATGGACACAGAGCATCCTTGCTGCTAGTAACACACAAGGTTCCTTTGCTGGAGTTGGAGAGGAGATTGGCCTCACTGGGACTCGCTGTTGGGTTTTATGTCTTTGACCTTCCTGATTACAAAGAAACACATATTCAGTATAAAAATCCAAACATGATGGAAATAGATAACATAGGAAGTTAAGGATTCCTGTAATCCTTTTCTCTAGAGAAAACCATCAAACAGATCATTTTTAATATACACATATAGATACATCATATCAATTCCTTTAAAATGTGAGATTGTTCCATTGCTATATAATTTGAGAATTTCCAGCTTCCTACACTAGCAAATCCTGGGAGGAAATACCAACATGCCTGAGAAGTCCCATCTCCTGCTCTGGAAGTTGCTGGGCTTTTTCAAGATTCTTTGTCAAGAAACACAGTGTCCTCCTGTATTACTGTGATGGGTTTAGAAAATGTTTGCAAATTCCTTGATACTTCTCCTTCCAAGTGGAAGAACCTAAGTCCTCTCCCTTGAGTGTGAGCTGAACGTGGTGACTGGCTTCTGATGAACAGAGTAAAGTAGGAGGAAGGGGTGTGACATTGGTCATAAAGTCATTGTGGATTCCTTCCTTTTATTTTTAAAATTGCTTTATTGAGCTGTAATTCACATACCATATGGTTAGCCCATATAAAGTGTAGTATATTCACAGAGTTGTGCAAACATCACCGCAAGCCCTTTAAAAACATTTTCACTACCCTAAAGTCCTCCCCTTCCTCTTATATTTTTGGGAAAAGTTTGAGAAGAATCAGTGTTAATTCTTCTTTAAATGTTTGGTAGAAGTCACCAATGAAGTCATTCATCTGGGCCTGGGCTTTTTTTTTTTTTTTTTTTGGTAGGAAGTTTTAAAATTACTAATTCAATTTCTTATAATAGATCTATTCAGATTTTCTATTTTTTCTTGAATCAGTTTTGGTAGCTTGTCTTCCTGGGAATTTTTTTACTTAGATAAATGCATCTAAGTTATCTAAGTTACCTAATGGCATCGTTCATAGTACTCCTTTATAAACTTTTTTTTTTCCTGTGGGGTAGGTAGTAATGTTCAATCTTCCAGTCTTGATTTTAATAATTTGAGTCTTCTTTATTTTTAAAAAATATTTTTGGTTCAATCTAACTAAAGGTTTGTCAATTTTATTGATCCTTTCCAAAAACCAACTTTCGATGTTATTAATTTTCTCTATTTGACTAATTTCTATTCTTATTTTTATCATTTCCTTCCTTCTACTTGCTTTAGTTTACTTTTCTCTTTTTGTAGTATCTTAACATGTAAGTTTAAGTTATTGGTTTGAGATCTTTTTTCTTTTTTTAATGTAAATATTTACAGATATAAATTTCCCTCTAAGTGCTGCTTGGCTGCATCCCCTAAGTTTTGGTATGCTGTCTCCATTTTGTTCATTTCAAAGTGTTTTCTAATTTCCCTTGTAATTTCTTCTTTGAGTCATTGGTTATTTAGGAGAGTGTTGTTTAATTTTCACATTTTCATGAGTTTCCCAAATTTCTTTCTCTCACTGCTTTCCGGTTTCATTTCACTGTGGTCAGATAATACACCCTGTATGATTTCAGTCTTTTAAATTTACGGAGTCTTGTTTCGTGGCTGAGATATGGTCTGTCCTGGAGAATGTTTCATATGTGCTTGAGAAGAATGGACTCTGCTATTGTTGGCCATTTCCTTGTTCTATTCTCTCTCTCTCGGATCACTCATTTTGGAAGAAGATAGCTGTCATGTTTGAGGACACTCAAGCAGCCCTAGGGAGGGGTCTATATGGTGAGGAACTAAGTCCTCCAGCCCACAGCCATGTGAGTGAATGGGCCACTCAAGCCTTCAGAAGACTATAGCCCAGCTGACATATTTTCTTCAATCTCATGAGAGACAGAATCAGCCCAACCACTCCTTAAATCTTGACTCACATGGGAGACAGTAAATATTTGTCATTCCAAGCCACTAAGTTTTGGGGTTATTTGTGATGCATCATTAGATAACTAATACAATTACCCATTAATTTGCTGGCTTTCAGGAGAACAAGTTGTAAAGCACAGTTGAACTTTAGGCAGATGTTCTATATTTTCTGAGGAAAAAAATGGAAAACATGGATTAATAATTATTTTCTTGTTAGGGCTGCTAGAGCCAATGGCACACGCCTTGTAATGATGACCGCAAGGCCTCAAGGATAAAGAAAGCCAGGCAGAATGACACTGATTTGAAGAGTCTTTGGGACACCCTGAACTACCTGTGCCTGGTAAAATAAACTACTTGAGATCCTAAGAGTCAGTCTGCAGCCCTTGTCATCAAATATTGAGAATCAATCAGATATCAAAAATAATCTGCCTTTACCATGCCAAAGGCATCTCACAACTTCCACTTCCTGTTTAACCAAAACAGTGGCTTTCTCATGGAAATCTCCTTTTTTGTTTTAGGCAGAAATCAAGTTTCTTTTAGTTGTTTTATACAACTTAGATTCATGTTTGTATTTTATAAGATGTGGCCCTTAATATTTACATAAATTAATATGACGCCCACAGTACTTTCTAAAGACTGGTTTTATATTCTGTTTATGTGATGGGAACCTATTTCACTTCAATACAGTTATTATTTGCAAAACTTTACATGCGTGTGTGTGTGCATATGCACACACATTAGAACATTCTTTGGAGTGGTCTATTTTTTTAATCAGATTTTCAAAAGAGACTACAACCTATAAAAAGTTAAGACCTCTTAGAATAAAAGAAAGAGAAAACAGTAGTTTGTTTTTAAGGATGAGACAGATTTAGGTGGGTTTAGGTTTGTTTTAGAAGGAGCCAGTAGAGAGGACAGATAGAAAACTCTGGAAAGTCAGAAAGGCCAGGGCACAAAACTCTCCAGATGGTGCCTGTCCCCCAAGGTGTCTGAACCATGGACTGGCTGAGACCAAGATCCCCACAGTCCTTTTGTACCCCACTGCTGCGCCCCATTCCCGTCTGTCTGTACCTGGGTCTTCCTGCCGGGCTGTGCTGGGGAGCCGCTCCCGCTGCCTCAGGGCCTCCAGGCCTGCCAGGTCGGGCAGGTGGCAGTGGCTGCGCATCACGGTCACCTGCTGGCCTTGGGTGATGGCCCGGCTGCGGCAGCCCAGCCGGGACTGGTCACGGCACATCCAGTACACCTTCTCGCCTGCGGCTTTCTCCTTTCGGTAGAGGAAGGACTCGTATACCAGGAACTTCCCCCCAAGGGAAGTCCTAAGAAACTCCAGAGGCTGGAGGGTTCCTGGAGGAAATGCGACCCATGAGTAGGGTACCTGGGCCAGGCCTTGGAAGCAAGGGCTGGAGCCTGGGTGCCAGGGGATAGATGCTGTTTTCTTTGTCCTACCAGCCTGCCCCAGCCAGGAAGCTGTATTATCCCTGCCCCCATCACCACAAGGATTCACTCCGGTCACTGCCCTCACCCCGCCTGTGCTGCAGGGCCCTGAGGACTAAAGCTCAAGTCGCCAGCCCAGGGACCACAGCCCTGACACCCTCGAGTGCAGAACGGCTGTCTCTAAGGGATCAGGTGCTGCCGAGGGAGGTTGGCCCTTCAGCCACCCAAACCCTGAGTTTCCTGCAGGCCTCTCCTGACTTGGCTGGGACTCCTTGCTTGCTGGCAAATGCCCAAGGGCAGGTGCTGGGCTAGAACATTCTGGGAAGCCCATGGCTGGTCTGGACCTTTTGCATCAGGGGCCTTCTAGCTACCTGTCCACCCTCCCCTTGGCCAGCTGGCAACCAAACAACTCTCTCTCGAGACTTTTAAGAACCTTAACTAGAAGGCCATGCAATATTGGGGTTGCAGTGACCAGAGAGAACTGGGGGGTAGGATGGGGAGGGAGAGAGGAGATAGAAGGAAACAGATACAAGACATACCCAGGGAGGGGAGAGAAAGGGTCCCCAAGGTAGGTACATTGCCCCATAAATGGGTGCTGAGCACTTCCTGTAGCTGCCGATAATGCCACCCCCATTCCCACCCCCTTTTCTCCAGTGGTCTGAGTGGGTTTCTCCCGCTGACAGCCCATCCCAGACTGGGACCAGCACCCTGAGTGTGGAGCTCAGACATAGCCTCTGCTCTCAGGGAGCTTACAGCCCAGGCAGACAGACCAATGGGCAAGGCTGGACCCCACTGGAAATGAATCATGGGTAGAAGGTCTTAGCAGGCAGCCTCCAGCCTGTGTTCTGGGGCTGGCCCAGGGGGACTGACAGGGAACAGGGAGACCAGGATCCAGCCTGCCCATACCTGAGCCTTCCCTCTGGGCTGGGCTGGGGAACTGCTCGCGCTGCCTCAGGGCTTCCAGGCCCCCAAGGTCAGGTGGGTGGCAATGCCTACGCATCACCATCACCCGCTGTCCCTGAGTGATGGCCCGGCTGCGGCAGCCCATGCGGGCCTGGTCCCTGCACGTCCAGTACACCTTCTCACCAGCAGCCTTCTCCCGCCTGTAGAGGAAAGACTCGTGTACCAGGAAGCTGCCCCCTAGGGGGGTCTTCAGGAACTCAGGGCCTCCTGGGGAGAAACGGAGGAGGTAGTTAGGGGTAGGAGAGCCTGGAGCCCAGGCCTTGGAGCAGAACAGTGAGGTGCGTAGGGGTCTTGTTCTTAAAGCCAGAGCAGCAAGGCTCCTGGAGTGACCCCCTGCTGGCCCCACCCCCACACTGCAGCCACTTCCTTAAAGTGAGCCAGCCGTGGAGCCCAGGACACAGACCCTCCCCCAGCTCCAAACCCAGCCTGGCCTCAGCTCCTGGCCTCTCCTGAGCTTGGCAGGGAAGAGAGGCAGGAGACTGGTGAGATGGAGTCCTCTGAAGGCAGAGGGCTGTTCCTCCACCTCATGGTACCTTTGAAGGGAACGTCTTTGCTATATCCGCTTGCTTATCCCAGGTTCCTACAACAGGGTACATACGCACAGGGCTGTGTGGTCCCTGCTGAGTCGGAGAAATAAGTGATGGCCCCTCTGGGGGACAAGCAATCAAAAGTTAAATGGGTGTTATGTTAGGTGTATTGTGAGCAGCTGGCAGCGAGCTGCAGAAGTGTGGACTCCCCTGGGAGCCAGGCTAGAAAGGGATTTGACCTGAGGGCAGCAGGAGGAGGCAAGCAGTGGCATGGGTCACATCTTGGATGTGTTGAGAGGGCAGTGGCCACATCCTTCTGCCCAGAGGACCCCCTTCCCTCTGTCCAGGCACAGGGACCACACAGAGGAGCTGGAGACAGACTGAGAAGTCTGTCGGTGCAGTGGACAGCAGCAGAAACCATGGGGTTGAGACCGTCCTGGAGCGAGTGGGGGTCAGGTGAGGGTATCTGGCTGTAGAATCCAGCTAGGTGACCTTGTGACATATTTCTGCTCCTCTTGAACCCAATGAAAATGTCCCCTTAGGAATGATGAAGGCACAGAGCACCAGGCCAGAAAATTTGGAATAAGGAGGAGACAACAGCATAGCAAGAGATGCTGACAGAATGGTAGAGGCTGGCGGGGAGGTTGTGGGGAGGGCTTGTGGTCACAGATTTGGCAAACGACCCTGGAGGGGAAGCCATTGAGGACAGTGGAGTCCAGTAGCTGAGTCTGGGAGGCCAGAGGTCTCTCTGAAGGCGGGGTCCAGGGCAACCCTACACAGGGGGCCTAGATGTGGGTTGTTTGTATGAAGTGCAATGAGATAAGGATGTCTGTACCTGGGGGAGGAGAAAGTGGAAATCTGTATCCGGAAAGTGACACTTCTTGCTCATTTTCCTTCCGGCAGCCAGGCTTAGACCACTGTGGAAGGTTTCTCCTGTGCGCTCTGACCAGCCCAGGGACTCAGACATGGCCCTAAAACTCCAAGCCAACACCCATCACATGCATAGGATCGGTCTTCAGAAAGCTGTGGGTCATTCCAGAACAGAGACCAAACAACCATGGAAGAAGGATTTATAACCTGGAGCTCCACCAACAGCCATGTCTCCATCATCAAGACACCTTCAGACACCCATGATCTCAACAGTGTGGCCTCCAGGGACTCAGGGAGTGAGGAGAGGAGGGACTTTGCAAGACAAGAGGGTAAACCAAGCAAGAGAAAGAGAGGCCCAGAGACATGGGTTCCAGCCAGGGGACCTTGGGGAGATGGGGAGGCAGGAGCAAAGCCTGGAGCTGTCGTCTGCTGGGTTGACTTGACGTATGAGGAAGAGAAGCGATGGGCACACGGAACTCCAGGCTGAGCCAGCGGCTGCTGTACTGCCCAGAAAACAAAGAGCTGTGTGAGGAGGAAACAAGTGCAGTGTATTCCCGGCTCAGCCATGAGCAGATTTTTGTAATAAAACAAAAATAGTCTACAGCCATGCCACCCTGAACAAGCCTGATCCCGTCTGATCTTGGAAGCTAAGCAGGGTCAGGCCTGGTTAGTACTTGGATGGGAGACCACCTAGGAAGACCAGATGTTGTAGGCATAAAAAATAAATAAGGGATTGTAAGATGACAAGGTCCTTGCAATCTGTGAGGTCAACCAAGGGTTGCCTCGCCTAAAATAAAAAACAAACAAACGAACGAACAAACTTTGGTAATTGCATTAAGAAGATGGAGGCAGTGTGTAATAACTGAATCCTTACTTTCATCGGAAGTCAACAAGAGATTAAGGAACCAGTTGACGGCAGTAGAAGCATGTTTTAAGAAATAGGGGCAGCAGCTACCCTAAGAAACAAGGGAAGGAGCTCAGAGTGGTTATTCGGGGTGGGAGTTGGGGGTGAGGACAGGGCGGAGCCACCACGTGCCTTATGGTTTTATCTCCATGTACTCAGAAGTTACATGGAAATGGAATAAAGAGAGTCAGAAGGAAATAAAATCAGAGATCTCAAGTTTGAGAGAACTTTAGGGCCAAAAAGGGTCTAAAGGTGACTCAGATGACTCCAAAAATTGTAGGACTGGGCCCCCCTGAAGGAGAGGCAGGTGTCTCATGGACATGAATGAAGAGCCGGGTAAGTAGAGAAGACTGGGCTGAAGCTGCTTTTCTTAGCAAGATGAGAACAGGGACATTTATGTTCTTGTGACTTTGAGAGTCCAAACATCAGGCCCTGTGGGGCTGACCAAGTGGACAAAGATGAAAAGAGAGGGGATGTGACCTTCGTCAGGGTTCCCCAAGGGACGATGATAGATATTCATGGAGAAGAGCTGGAGGAGAGAAGTAGTTAGTTGACCACCTGAAAATATCACCCTCTGTCCTTTAACCACTTGGTGTGTAGGGTGTGCTTGTTCCTAGGCACTGTATTATCTACTAACACTGTAAAAATGAGAAAATGCCATATGCAATTCACTTTCTCTATAACTCCTATAAATTCTTAAGAAAAACAAGGAAGAAGGAGGAGGAGGACAGGGAGCCTGGGATGATCAAGTGCTGCAGAGATTTCCGGGCAGCTCGGGCTGGTCTGAGCAGAAAAGTGAGGATCACCATCTGAGTGAGGGGGACCAGCCTATTCTGGAGTCCAGTCCGGGAATGTGGTGAGGTGGGTGAGGAAGGGGTGAGGGAAGGGAAGAGCAAGAGGAGAGAGGGCTGAATCTCCTCCCAGAGTGCTCCCAGTAAGGAAGAGGCGGGTGTTGCTGGGGAGTATGGGGGGTCAAGAGGGAAAGACTGACTGGCTGTCTGGATCTCCTCCTATCCCTGAGGCCCACTCGCCGTCCTACCTGAACTTCCCCACTGGGCTGTACCAGGGCGTCTCTCCCGCTGCCTCAGGGCCTCCAGGCCCCCAAGGTCGGGTGGGTGGCAGTGGCCACGCATCACGGTCACCCGCTGGCCCTGGGTGATGGCTCGGCTGCGGCAGCCCATGCGGGCCTGGTCCCGGCACGTCCAGTACACCTTCTCGCCAGCAGCCTTCTCCCGCCTGTAGAGGAAGGACTCGTGCACCAGGAAGCTGCCCCCCAGGGGGGTCCTCAGGAACTCAGGTCCTCCTGGGGAGAAAGGGGGAGGTGGTTGGAAGAGGGGAAGCTGGGCTAGCACTAATGCCACCCCCTCCTACCTCCCCACCCTCAGGAAGACTTGAGTTCCTTTCCCCTAGCTCCCCCCTGTGGCCAGTGGGGATGGAAGACTCACCCAGCTCCTTGTCCTGGTCCTCAGCAGGGGATCCCTGTAGGGCCTGGGGCTTTGCATGCTTTCTGGGCCTGGCCCTGGTAAGAGTCAGGGTGCCGGGCCCCCTGTGGTAGAGCAGACTGTCCACACCTCGGAGCAGCTTGTCCACTTGGCCCCCAGGGCCGCCTGGCCTGGCCTTCAGTGTCTCCATGGCCTTTTCCTGCTGCCGCCGGGCCTGCAGGCCCTCCACATCAGGTGAGTGGCAATGGCCACGCATCACAGTCACCCGTGTGCCCTGGGTGATAGCCCGGCTGCGGCAGCCATGCAATGCATGATCCCGGCACGTCCAGTATACTTTGTCCCCCACGGCCTTCTCCCGCTTGTATAGGAATGACTCATGTACCAGGAAGCTGCCCCCATAACAGGTCCTCAGGAACTCCAGGGACGGGCATTCTCCTGGAAAAGGAACCAGGCAGCGAAGGGGAGGAGGCCAGGAGGTAAGGCCAGTGAAGCACGTGGTCAAGCATGTACGTTACTGAATGCGTCCCCCTGACCCCGCGACCCAAGCGGGAGGTGCGGTATCACTCCTGAGGGTCAGTGAGGAGGCCACGTCCAAAGTCACATACCTGGAAGGGCCAGGCTGGCTCTGACTCCACAGCCTATGCACTCAGTCACTCCTGGTCATACTTTTTCTTAGGGTTTGTTTAAAAATCTTATTTAATTTTAGAGTAATACATGCACATACCATAAAATACAAATGGTACCAAAAGATACACAGGGTAAAGTAAGTCCCTCTCCCTCACCCTGCCCCAGTAGCTGCCTTAAATCCTTCAGCCTTGAGTCCTTGAATCCTTTCCGGGTCAGAAGGCAACAAATGCCTTTGGGACCAAGCCCACCTCCTAGTTACTGGTAACAAAAACTGCAGGAAGATTCAAAGATTTCATCTACTGGTTACTCAGCACCACCACATGCTGGGCCAGTGCTCAGCACTTCCCAGGAGTCACATGCCGAATCTCCCTGACATCTAGGCTATCACCCATCTTAGGACAAAGTGCCTGAAACTCTAGAAGTTCAGCAAACGTTCTGAAGCTACCCAGCTACGTGAGGTTGGGCTGGAACTTGAACCTGAGAGCCAAAGCTGAAGACTCTCCCACGAGGCCAAACTCCCCAAACTTCATGGGTTACCAGAATTACATGGAGCCTGTTAAAACTCATGTTTCCGAGCCCCATACTGGATCCTGCTGCATCAAAGAATTCCAGAAGGACCTGGAACCACTGGTTCAGGAGCTCTAGTTCTAATCTATGGGCTTAATGATTACTGGGACACCTTGATAGTCTTAAAGTCATTTTGACTTCAAGCACATTTAAAAAATCATTTCTCTTTGGGTACAGAAAAGGGTCTGAAGGTTCCTTCCTGTCCCAGAGTGGAGCGGGGTTGGGGGCACTCACCAATCCCCAGTGTTGGGCGTTTCTTGGGAGGCAATCTTAGCAGTGACAGGGCTCGCAGCCCCTCATCCTCCTCTGGGGCTGGCTTGCTCAGCACCAGCCCAGGGGCGGGCTCTGGCTCCTCTGGGCACAGCCATGGGCCCACCCCGAGTGGCTCCTCCACTCTGTCTCCAGGGCCATCAGGACCCCCCAAGCCTTCCGGCAGGGCTGGGCTCGGCAGCTTCTGTCTTTGGCGACGGGCCTCTAGGCCCTTCTCATCAGGTGGGTGGCAGTGGTCCCGCATCACTGTGGCTCGCGGGCCTCGGGTGATGGCCCGGCCCCGGCAGCCCAGCTCGGTGTGCTCTCGGCACTTCCAGTACACCTTGTCCCCCACGGCCTTCTCCTGTTTGTACAGGAAGGACTCAAGCACCAGGAGGCGGCCCCCAAATGGGGTCCTCAGGAACTCCAGGGGTGTGGGGGCTGCTGAGGGCAAGGAGAGGGCTGGGTTAGCTGACGTGGAGCAAACTTGAGGCCAGAGATATGGACGGGAACGATGGGGGTGCACAGGGATGAGGATCATCATATCGGCCTAGGACAGGGTCAAAATTAGAGATAAGGAGGCTTGGCTCAGAGCAGGCATAGGATAGCCAAGGTCACCCCATTGGAAAGGGGAGTGTGTGGGGGCCCGAGTGTGAGCATGCAGGGCCAGGGACAGCAGGCCCGGAACTCACCTGTGTCTGGCTTGTTGCGTTTCTGCTCAGGGGCCTGGGGGCTTGGCTGGACTGCCCCTCCCTGCTCCTCTGCTGGCAGGATCTGGAGGGTCCTGGCCAGGGTGTCAGGGCCAGACATCTCCAGGGACATGACACAGTGCACTCCTTTGGGCTGAGCGCCCACCCCATTCCCATTCTCAGTAGAGGTCGTTAGCAGGACCAGATTAGAGAATTCCTTGGGCTTCGTGGGGGCTGTGGGGACCACATCTGTGCCTGTCTCAGGGGACTCAGGGGACGGCTCCTGGCCGGCCTTCACGCTCTCACCCTCCTGCTCGCTGGGCTCAGGCAGGGGCATTCTGGGACCAACGGCCTGTCTCCCAGGCCACGTTCAGGCACCAGCGGATAAGGTCTCCTCCTTGCTGGCAAGGAACTTGGCAATCTAGGGCTCTGTCCTAAGAGAGGAGGCAAAACTCTGTCAGTGGAGAAGCCTTGGGGTCTGGGGCTCAGGAAAATAGATCTGGGGTGCAGGTTGGGCAGTCAGGGCCCTAGGCTAGGACCTCAAAAGAGCTAGAGAACCCTGGGCTGGTGCTTCTGCTCAGCCGGTTCCTCTCTTGGTGGCCTTGGGTATGTTATCTCCCCCATCAAAACCTCACTTTCCCTGAGCATAAAATGTGCTAAATACAGGGCTCTTGGTGGGGAGGACTATTGGGGGACTGAGGTACTGATAATTGTTAGTTACTACAAACCAGGGCCCATAGGTGCTGAGCACGGGGCAAGTGTTTCATGGGTTTTACCATTTAACCTTCCAGCTCCATGTTATGACAGTTTATCATTCTTATTGACCCAGTTTACAGATAAGGACACTGAGGTACGTAGGGGCGACCAACACAACCGTGAAGTGACAGCTGGGAGTCCAGTCCAAGTGAACCCAGAGCCCATCCCCACATGACACCTGGTGTACATGGTCCAGGATAACAGTCACTGGTGCTCTTGAGCACCAAGCATCCAAGACAGGCACCGGGGACATGAGCTGAGGTCACTGACCGTCCTAGAATGCCTGGTGCCCTTTACTCTGACATTCTGCAGACCACAGAGGGAAAGCTTGGCCCTAGGAGGTGAGATTCTCGATTCATGTCTAGATCTGGCCCTCATCCCAGGCCATGGGTTCCAGGCCACCACTCCTCACCCCACCCTACCCACAGCATCAGGAGATGCTAGGGCCCCATGAGGGCAGCGACCTTGTGCCTGAGCTGGTCCTGGTGCTGCCTCAGCAGGATGGGGACAGGGCCGTAGAGGTATCTGGAGAATCCTCCATCACTGAGGGCTTCCCAGCTTCTGGATTGGAGAAGCAGAAAGGATGGACTATGGGGGCCAGGCTGGCCTGGAAACCTGTGCCCAGGGGCATCAGTGCAGTGTGGTCTTTCTGTCTTCTTGAGGGATTAGTCAGTGGGCAGGGATGAGGATCTTTGTGGTCTTTCCCAGCTCTCAGTAATAGCCCAGAAACAAGACTGCAGGCTCCCCTCACATTTCAGTCTCCCCACTGGGAGCTGTCACTCCCGGTCTCAAGTTATGCAGTTCCAAATTCCTCCTGGTTCCCCATTCCTTCTTGCAAGTTTCCTGGTCTGGGGCCCACATTCAGATCACCAAGGCCTGGTCAGGCCATTCGCGGGGCCCACGCATCCCCGACAGCGTCCCCAGTAGCACACACTCGCCCAGCCTTGGGCAGCAGGGAAGCCCAGTCTTGAGGGTCGAGAGCCAAGGAAATCCATTAGGTACCAGGACATCTGGCTGGGAGCCCCCGCCTGTCCTTCTGCGTCATCCCCCTAACCCCAGTTCAGCTCCCGGACAAGCCAACCTCTGCTCCACCCGTTCGGTCCTTCCTGGCCCTGCCCACCTAGCCCCACAGGGCGATGTGGCAGGGCAGGGGCACGGGGGACGTGGGGACCCGCAGAAGCAAGACATCCTGAGGCCTCCGGGGGCAGAATGGCTGGGTGCAGGAAAGGGTTAGGGCTGAAGGCCCACAGGCCGCTCCCCACAATGATTGGCCCTAGCGCAAGTCCCTCCACCTGCGGCCCGCCCCTCTACCTCCCAGGCTCAGCGATCCCAGGACTCAAGGAAGCCGCGATCTCCAACCCCTTGTCCTTTCCAACCCCGTGTCCTCCCCACGCCCGGCGAGCTGCCTGCTCTCCTGCCTTCCCCACGGCTTCCACCGACTGGGTGCAAAAGGGCACAAAGAAGCCGCCCTCCCTTCCTCAGAAGGCCTTTCAGATAACTCAGGCCACCCAAGGCGGTGCAGTCAGTATCCAGCCAGCATGCACATTTCTACAGGTCCATGACCAGCGGGGAGGCAGCATGGAAAAGAACCGCCCGCATTTCCGTGGAACTGTACTCGGAGTCAGGGGGCCCGGAGTCATGGGACCCCAAGTCAGGAGACACTGCCGATCCTTTCAACTAAAATTGCTGTTTAAATTCAAGACCATGTGCCTAAAAGGATATGGGAAAAGTTCCAATGAAAGACTCTGAACTATGACTGACCACTGTATGGAAATGCCTGGGTATTGCAATGAACTAGAATCTGGATTCCCTTGACAGTTCCCATTCTTATCCATTAAAGTGCCTTAAAGTGTAGATTGTTTAATGACTAAATTCTCCCTTAAAGTAAACAGGTGCCTTTGCACTGTGGTCTTGAATGTGGACTGGCCTTCAGCTCAGGTTGGTCACTTGCTGTGTGACTTGTTAAGTGTGACAGAAACACGCTGTGGGGGCTTGGAAGTTCTTGACCTCCTGGGATATGGCCTGGAGACTGTGTGGGAACAAAGCTGTATGAGAGGTCACATGCAGGGGACAGAAGCACTGCCGGGCATGGAGGAAGACCAGCAGACCCTCCAGCTGTTTGTAGCCACATGAAGCAGCCCAAGGAAACCAGTAGAGGAACAGTGAAGCCATCCCATGGAATCCTGATCAATAATAAACTACTGTTGATTTAAGCCAGTAAGATTGGGGATCATTTGTTACACAGCAGTAACTGTTCTTCTTGGCAAGTGACTGCACCTCGTGGGTTTTGGCTTTTTGATGGTTGAAATAATGCTCATGGTTGTGAAATATTCAACATCAAAGTGCTTTTGAACTCCAGGTGCCATGGTACACAAACGTTAAATCCCTTAGACAATCATGTTTAAAGGACTAATAATCCAGTGAGACGAACAAAAACATTAAGTATAAAGGACAGAAAATGAGAATTATGTTTAAACAGTCTGTAACATGAAATAAGCCGGTCACAGAAGGGTAAATGCTGAATGATTCCACTTACATGATGGAGCTAGAGTGATCAAATTCATAGAGACAGAAAGTCAGATGGTGGTTGCCAGGTGTTGTGGGGAAAGAGGTGGGGAGTTGTATAATGAGCACAGAGTGTCAGTTTAAGTTGATGAAAAGATGGATGGTGGTGATGTTTGCACAACAATGTGAATGTACTTAATTCCACTGAACTGTATACTTAAAAAATGATTAAAGTTGTAGATTTTTGTGTATATTTTGCCACACGTGCAAAAAATAATCTGTAACGAACTATACGTAGTAATGTCCCATTGACCTAACATCATCGGTGAAGGAAGTTCTCCAAAAACATGCAGATTTCTGATTAACTAAAGTTATCTCTCCATGATTCGGAATTCTACAATTTTTATCTGATTCACAATTTATCCATTGGGGGTAGATATCTTCGTAAGCTCTTACCACTCTTCACTGTCTGAATAAAGAGGGCATACATATTTTATCCTGATTTGGAAAATGAAGTGTCCCTATCCATTTCCTTTAACCTAAGGGGGCCCTTTCTCCACAATTCATGTCCTGCTCTCTCTGGTTGTCAAACCCCTCTGCCTCTGCTGGTTCTTTGCATTTGGACTATCAGGGTTCTTAGGTCTCCCATATCCTAAAACAAAACCTCACAAAAGCCCCTTTCCCTTAATAGTTCAACTTTGCAATAGCAGCCAATACCCCTTCCTTCTCATCCTAGCCTTCTGGCCAGCTGGCCCTCAACTCTGCAGACACCATTCTCCTCTCTGGACACCATGCAGGCTTAGCACTGGCTTGGCGGTCGGTCCATAAACCATCTTCTCCCTCCGAAACACCTGCTCAGGCTTGTATGTAGTCTATCTGTACTATGGCATTTCTTCAGCAACAGAAAGGAATGAAGTTCTGACACACGTTACAATGTGGATGAATCGTGAAAACATGATGCTGAGTGAAAGAAGTCAGTCACGAAAGTCACATATTGTATGACTCATTCATATGAAACATCCAAAACAGGCAAATCCGTAAGAGACAGAAAACAGATTAGTGGTTGCACAGGCCTGGGGAGGAGATTAACGAGTGATACTAAGGGGTGTGGGGTTCTTTTTGGCGTAATGAAAATGTAAAATTGTAGTGATGGTTGCACAACTCTGTGACTACACTAAAAACATTGAATTATTCATTTTAGATAGTGGAATTGTATCATATGTGAATCATATCCCAATAAAGCTGTTTTTAAAGAATCCTTCATAGATATGACTCAGGTTTGCAGGGTCACTTGCATGACAACCAGTTTTCTACACCATAAACAGGCTTCTCACTCCTGGGCTTGCTTTCCTCATCAAAGGAGAGGAGTGGCATGAGTTATATAATGAAATATTTTGTAAGTTGCTAATATTGTATTGTAAAAACTATATAGAAAACACTTTTAAAGTGTTAAGAACAAAATACTAATAAATCGCTCATAATTCTGCCACTCAAACGCAAAGCTATTTCCATTCTTATATTCGTGCCTTTAACATACACTTTATTTTCTGTTGTACACACATTGTGTTCAATATGTTGTTTACTATTTTATTCTACGTTAGAGTGGGAAGTCCAGACCCGCAGAGCAGAGGGAGCCCTTGTAAAGGACTAAAGCATTATGAAATGTAGACCCATAGCAGTTAGGAAAACACAATCTAAACCCTCAGCAGCAATACTCTAGAAGAACACAAGATGGCGATGTTGCTCCTTAAAATGAATATACTGCGCATTCTTGGTATAAATTAAATGTACTGCACAATGTTTCCAAAACAAGAATTTGGGAGTTTGAACATGTCACAAAAATAATTCAAGAATTCCAAAAATCTTTGTATTTACAAAACTTATTAGCTAGAAAGCAGAATCCATTTAAATTCATCAAAGACTATCTCTTCTAAGTTAAGGTTTTTGTTTGTTTGTGTTTTTTAAAAACCGAAGTATTACATGGACATTGACACTATACCTGGCCTTCAATCCACTTTTCTTCTATCTCTTCTTGACTTCAATTATATTTTTTATTTATTGACTAACTTTATTTTATATATTCATGACTTAAAAATACCTTAAATAACTAGGAAGAAATATCTCGAAATGTTAAAAGTAGTAAAGTAGTGATTTATTTTTTCCTTACATTTCTTCTGTTTTTTCAAAATTGTTTACAATGTTTATAAACTCTTTTTATAGTGGGAAAATATTAAATACTTTAAAGATAAGCTGTTTCTCCTCGCTTGGTAATTTTTCTTTAACTCTGTAACTCTCAGAAAAAGCAATGAATATTCCTACATGACATGATGTCATACAAGAAAATAAAAAGTAATGTAAACAAAAGAACAGAGAAATGAATAAAAATCAAGTATATTAAAATCCCTGTTGAGGGACTTGTATAGCCTCAAAGATATTTGCCCTGAGGTATTTACTAACTACAAAGGGAAAGATAGTAACTTGACAGTGGATAAATCCTGCAGACACCCGGTTAAGTGATCAAGGTCAACTTCACCAGTAAACAAACCCACTAACTTCATGACCTCCTTGATAAGAGGCACCGAGAAGGACACCATCATCTCTGTGATATTCTTGCCCAAACCGTGCACTTCCATTCTAATCTAAGCCACATGGAAGAACAGTCTACAAAACAACTGACCGGGGCACTTCAAAACTGTCAAGGTCATCAAGGACAAGGAAAAACTGGGGACCTGTCACAGACTGGAGGAGCCTAAGGAGGCACAACATTTAAATGCAATGTGGGATCCCAGAATAGAAAAAGGATGCTAAGGGAAAAGCTGGTGAGATCCGAGTAAGATTAATAGTTTAGGTTAATAATATTGTACTGATGTTTATTTCTTGGATTTAATCACTGTACAATGTTAGGTAAGATGTTGACATTCAGGAAAACTGGGTATATGGGAATTCTTTGTACTATTTTAGCAATATTTTAAAAAGTTTAAAATTAACTAAAAATAAAAGGTTTTTGAAAACCTAAGTTTCAAACTTATAGACACAATGGAAGTTGACAGAGAAAATTAGTGACTCAGAGACATCCTGAGTGGGAGTGAGAGAGAGAGGGAGTGAAGAGAAAAAGAGAGAGAATACTGTGTTTTTGGTCCTCCGGCTGGGACCTTAGCTGGGAACAAAAATCCTATGACATCAGCCACACCTTCAGTACGATAACCCAATAATCTCACTTTCAAGTGTTACCATCATCCCCTGCTCTGCTTCTGGGGAAACTGAGGCTCGGGGTCTGAAGTGAGTGGTCCAAGACCACACAGCTAGTGAGAGCCAGGACTTAAACCCAGGCTCAGTCGGTTCAGAGCTAATTGGCCATCTCCCTTTGCCCTGAGCAGCCGAGGCTTAAAGAGAAAAATGCCAGTTACAGAAGGAATGCACAGAAGACATACACAAAGCTGCGGTCAGGCCTTCAGAGTAAGTTGTCAGCTTTACTGATGCATCCTTTCAGACCAGCTATTTTGTAGTTTATCATAGTGGCTTCCAGAAGATCTGGCCAATGGGAGGCACCGTGGGAGACTGGAGGGTAGAGGAAGGAGGGTGTCCCTGCAGTTACCTGCCTGGCGTGGCCCCACCAGTGCTGTCTGCTCCAGCGTGGCAGGGTCCCCAGCCTGCTGTCCTAGATCCCCAGCCTTGCTGTGGTGGCAGCATCTAGCCACTGCTAATCTCTGGGGTGCTCACCATTCCATTTTTGGCTTCTCAGCTCTTCCACCCCCAGGAAGAGTAATGAAATTCCCAGTTGAAATCTTAGTTTCTGTCGACCGATACAACCTTCGAGAGTCAAAAGGACCAAATAGCAGCTATGTGCCCGGCACTACTCTAAGGACTTTGCGTGCATTATTTCATTTTATCTTCCAAATAGCCTCATCAGTTAGAGTCTACTGTTATTTCATATTACAGAGGAGGAATCTAAGGCTTAATCTTAGGTCCCCTAGGCTAAGAGCCAGGTCGATAAAGAACAGAGTCGACATTCAAACCTCCTGGGTTTCCTTTCAGGGCCTAAACTTTTAAAATAAGTTAAAACAGTTCTGACTATAGGTATCGATGTAGAGGGTTAAGACTGGCGGTTCTCAGTCAGGGTTAGTTGCCCCTCAGGAAACATTTGGCAGTGTCCGGAGACATTCTTGGTTGTCACAGCTAGGGGGATGGGGCATACTGCCAGCATCTGGTGGGTGGGGCCAAGGAGTCTGCTCAACATTCCACAGTGCCCAGGGCAGCTTACTGCCGCCGTCCCCACCTCTTGTGACCGGCATTTAAAAAATGAAATAGAAAGAGTGCATCTATGAGGATAATTACAGTTTTCACAAAACTTTTATTTCAATTATTTGTATGCGTAATTCTGGTCTCCATAAGAATTACCCCATAGCGCTTGATAAATGTGTAGGTACCTGTGTTAGGTAGTTAGGCAGGCATAAGTGACAGGAGCGAAGGCTCAGCTCTGCAACTATAGAAACCTCCCTTGAAGACCTTCCTTAAAGATCTCCCAGGGACACCTCTCATTTTATGGGTATGAATTACCCTAAATCCTAAGGCACAAAGGTTGTAAAAGCTGCCGGCTAAACCAGCCACAAATGCATGAGCAGAAAGTACTACCCCAACCTGCTCATAACCTCAGCCTCGTTATATCATCATTATAATATCATGCTTATGCCTGGAAGTTCATGAATCTAATTATAACAGACTGAATTCTAGGTAAGCTCATGCGCAGTAGGCAAAGGGTTACACAGCAGTCAAGTGTCAGTTAAGGTGACCTCACATGCCAATCATATAGGACCGCCCTTGTAACCTATCATCATAGCCCAAATAAAAACAGACTTTCTCACTTCTGTGCTGTTACAGCTGTGTCTCCACTGAAAACCTGCTCCTCCCTGGGAGTGTACGTTAACCTCTATCTTTTCACCTCCCAAATCCCACAGGGCTGTAGCCTTCCTTAGCATGGCCTGTCTCCTTCTCAAACGTACTTTCAATACATCTTATTTTTTCTAATTCTCGGTGACCTGTAATTCTTTACTATGTCAGTGGGAAAGAACCAAGGACTCCCTTCACGCCACTGGGGCAATGCCAGATTTCACATGACCCCATGCAGTAACACCTGGATTTCACATTCAAAATTCTGGAGAGGGATTCAAGAATCTGGATTTTTAACAACTATCCCATGAAGCTCTGGTACTGGTGGACCATGGACTATGCTTTGAGAAACACTGGAACAGGTGGTGTCCTTGAGAAATAGGTGACCCACAACTAAGTGACCAACTTAAAAGGGATCTGAGGTTTTCATTATGCTGGGCCCCACACGAAATGTTTTACATGCATTATCTCATTTAAATCTGTCACACTGTACAGGTTCCCTTGTTAATGTGTTAAACAAAATCATTAACATCTGTTTATTTTATATCTGTGGGGGAATCATGAATTCATCTTTTTTTGAAATGATCCTTTAACAATTTACCAAGTTTCAGACACCTTGGGGTATTTGGGGGATATCAAGAAGAGAGGAACTTGCCCAAATTTATAAGCAGTACAGGTGAAATTTGGTGGAGAGAATTTCCTCAGCATGGCTTTGGTACCTCAAGAGAGCAAATATCAGACTTTTAAAAATCTGGTCTGAGATTCCTTATGAAGACTTCCAGTAAAGCAAACTTAAGAAGGTCTATATGTGAATTAACATACTTGCTGCATCTATACAAATAATCAGGCCAACTCTAATGACACCAGCCTTATTTCATGATCAAAAATATCCTTCACTGAGATTATAAGACTGTAGGAAAATTTGTTCTTCAATGGAAACTATGCATTCTCTAAAACACATCCTTCCAGGTTATATGATTCTAGCCTTTCATTGCCTTTGAGCTATTTTTACAATTCTGTCCATTGTAGAGAATAATGAGAACTAAGAACTGAGAACAATAAGAAATAATCTAGTCCATAGACAATAAATTCTCTCTCTCTAGGTAAATACAGCCATGTAAATGATTCTTCCCACTGTGGAAAAAGCCAGTTTTATCTCCATCGGCACAATCATTTCCATTTTCCTGATCTATGCTCTTTTAGAATCTTCTTTGGGTTCTATTGCAAACTGGTTGTGAAATCTTACTGGTTCCTTGATTAATGAGTTGAGTGAAAGCCTTTACACATGTTCATTTTATACCTGTATGAAAGAGTTTTATTTCTTTCGTTTTGGTCTAAAGCTCTGCTTTTCAAATTGCCCTGGTCATTGGTCCCATCATCTTTGGGTTCCAGTCAGCAATTTAAAAAATTACATAGCCTATACCAATCTGCATTGCATATAATAAAAGTATTATCATATGAAACTTTTATTTGTTATATATGTATATTTATTCTACGTGGGTTTAAATTTTTTACTTTGCAAGGTCATTGTTTTGAGGTAAATACTTGGGCTCTAATGTGTTTACTCTGTAACATTCAATTTTTACTCAGTAAAGACTAATTGAGTGTCTGGAGTGTTTTTAAGTCAGGCAGATGTAAAGAGAAAGTTCAAAGGCTTCACAGTTTATGGTTCATCACTCTCTTATCCTCTTTCCCCTCCCCCATAGTTGAGGTACAGAGCAATTTGAGACTGCCTGCTCTGATAGTGCTCTCCTGCTGGTGGTCACAACAGTGTAAACCCAATACCCAACACACGCAATATTATGAACTGTTAGGCACCTCTCAGACACCCTGGGGTCCAAGCCCTGATCAATAAGGTCTTCGAAAGCAGAGCCTGGCTTGGCAGCTGATGGCGGATCAACAGAATTACCTTCATACATGAGAGCAACAACCACCATTGTCAGCTGCCAACGTTCAGGTCCTTACAGCTGGCTTGCTGGATGGGAGACCTGGGGCAAATCTCATCACTTCTCCGGGCTGGTTTTACCTGTGAAATAGGAAAAGTGGCAATTGAGATACTGTATGTGAAATTCTTCTATAAACTGTAAATCATCACACAAGAACAATGAATTTTTTGTCCAGGCTCTAACAGGGGTCCTGAATAGTGGAAGGGGAGGAGAGAAGGGTATCGATGTTTGAAAAAACTCCTGAATGATTTCAACTGCTATCCCCTCCCCTCCCCCACTATTGAGCTATGTGGGTTATAGGTACACACTGACTGGCCCATGAACCCTCCTGTGATTATATGCATAGTCTCTGAGTGTGAATACAGGCCTTATTTCCCAGAGAGCTTGAAGGTGGCAGTAATAAAGATTAAGAACTGCTATTCTAAAGCAGGGCTTCTCAACCTCAGCATTTTGTATCAGATAACTTTTTGTTGTGGGGCCTGTCCCGTGCCATGAAGGATGTTTAGCAGCATTTATGGCCTCTGCCTGCTAGATGCCAGGAGCACCCCCCTCCCCAAGTCCTGACAACCAACATTGTGAATGTCTCCTGAGAACCACTGCTCCAAAACAACTTAGAGATGCACAGGCTACAGAAAGGGAAATTCCAGCCAACAGCCCTCCCCACCTCCAAACCCCCAATTCCCCATCAGAATCTTAGCTACTTTTACTCCTTCCTTATCAGGCCTAATGTGTCCTCAAATCTCATTCTCGCTACCTGATCTGGCCATCTTCCATGCCTTCCACTGCACACCACCTCAGGGCTTTGATCCCCACTGCCTCCCCACTGTCTTCCCCTCTAGCTTCTGGACCTCTCAGTTCTCCCTATGCAGCAGTGCAGTGCCGGCAGGTAAATCTTCCTAAAGCTCAACTTTAATAATTTTTCTCTCCAACCATAATCATCTCTATTTCTGTTATAAATGCTCCACAGTCTAACTCCAACCTCACACACTATCTCTTTCCCCAGTCTGACTAGGAGCTTTTGGAAGAGGAACAAGAGAAACCTGATTGAATCAAACCAGAAAATTCAAATCAAGTCCGGGAAATGGTTTTGGTCTTGAAATGTAGACATGTCAAAATAATAAAATATACCCTTTTTAAGATTACACATGATTCTCTGATTATATTGGAGCTCAGCATCCTCCAAAGGCAAGGAGTAAAGGAAGCAAAGGACAGATGGTTAAAGCAAGGCTTTCCAACCATGGTTACACACCCATTAGCTCTTGAAATCAATTTCATGGGTTAGCAATAGTCCTTTGGAGTGGAAAGAACAGAACAGAACAGAACAGAACAGAACGGAACAGAACAGAACTGAAGTAGAGTACTTCGGGCTGCATCATGTGAGGTTAGGGTAATAGCTCCCTTTAAACTTATCTCTCAGCAATCTATATCTACAGGCACAGAGTTTGCACGTAAAACGTTTCTCAATGTAAGTTGAAATAAAAAGTTTGAAAGCCACAGCGGACAATCTACATAATCAGAAGTGGAAGGAGGGGTGTAACAACAGTAAAAAGTGCAAGGTCACTAGGACCTCCAGAACCACAAAGATGGGAAGAGGCTGCGCTGGGTGCCAGGGTGGGGGCAGTACGCGGTGAGGCGGATACCGCCAGGGAGACAGGCGAATGTAGAATTCCTTGATTTGGGGTGTCAGAGTTCGGTCCCAGAGTCGGGTTGGTTGGGGGAAGGAGAGGCGAAGAGAAAGGAGAATCCCGGTGAAGGACAGGAGGTGGTCTGAGCGCCGGGACGCAGAGCCTAGGGACACCCCTCCCCGCAGCATCAGCAGCCCTTGGGGACCCCCAAGAGAGCCCGGCCGGGGGCGCGTCCACGCCATTGGACCTGGACCCTCCTGGACCCGCTGGGGCCCGTCCTCACCGGGCACCAGCCGGGCGGCGACTGCAGCGGGGCCCTCCCTCTCTGGCGACTGAACCGCGGCAGGTCCTTTGGCTTCCAACGCTACAGCCGCAGGCATCAACCTCGCGCACCAGGCCCCGCAGGTTATCGCAACCCTGGGGCCTGCTCCCCGCCCCTTACCTGCCCTCTTGGGAGCGAGCCCCGTGCTCGCGCGCTCCGTCTCGTGGGTCGTCGGGAGCGCGCGCCACCGCGTTGGAGAGCCGGCCTCCAGGCACGCCTAGGCTGGCTCCTGTTGGGCATGCGCAGCAAAGCCCATTTTGGTGGGGCTTACTCGGCCTCTCCGGGTTTTCCCCGCGCGGCGCTGAGCTAACGGCCCGACCAATCGGAGCTGGGAGGCGGGGCTAGGACTTGCAAAAGAGGCGGGGAAAGCCCAGGATTGGGTGGCGGCGTCGGGGGACGGAGCCTATCAGGACCTGTGGCTTGGACTGGGGGTCCTAAGCCTGGAGCTCTCAGACCAGTGAGGTGGGGGACTCAACTGAGACCCCAAGATTTCCCCCCGGGTTTGACTCCCTGCTCGCAAAGCGGGAGCATTTGTTTGAAAGCATCCTTAGGCCATCACTTTTCTTAGCAAGCAGAAGGAAATTTCTTATGCACTTCATCAAAACCTTCAAATGAGCCCAGCCCAAGCTGGGTTAATTTGAGATTCAAATGAATAATGATATAGATTATAACCTTGAATAAAATAAGAATCTATGAACTGATACCGATGGAAATAAGTATATAAAAATACCTTTATAGTAGGGAGCCAACTAAAAATTTTAAGTTTGTTTTACACATGATTGCCTACATAACCTAGTTATTTTCCTAATGGACACTCCGTTTATAAACCTTGATATTATAAATATTGCTGCTGCGGCTGGCTTTATTTCTAACATTTGGTGAATCTAGGTGAAGAATATATGGATATCCTTTGTACACTTCTTGCAATTTTTCTGTAGCTGCGAAATTATGTCAAAATAAAACGTCAAACAAAAATATCCTTCCCTTTGGCATTCAAATTCCTGGGAGAAACATCTTTTCCGCTTTAGTCCCTCCCTCGCCCAGCCTTCGCTCATTGGTCCAGCCCTCGCCCATCGGTCCCTCCCTCGTCGAGCGGTCGCCCTTCTCACAGCCACCGGACACTTGTCATTCTTCGACCACCCTTTGCGGTGGAAACCAGGCTTGCTTCGGCTCGGGGAGCTGCGGGGCCCTCGGTGCTCTTTTCCCGGACACTTGGCGAGTCGCGGCTAGAGTCGTCCAAGCATCACCCAAGCTGACGCCCGCCTTGCCTCTCAGGGGCTCGGGGCGCGAAGTCCCTGCACGTCATCTGGACGCCCCTCCTCCTCTCCCACACAGCTCCCCAGGACCTCGCTCACTGAGACGCTCCCCAGCCGGTGGGAACCCTTCCCAGGGCTGGAGCCGGGGTCTTCTGGCTGCGCGTCCTCGGCGTTTGCAGAGTAAAGGCGCTGCTCTTCTCTAGGGAACCCCACTCTCTAACACCCCTCCCTTCAGCCTCCCTCCGGTCTCTAAAGGTGCTGCTGGAAGCGCCCCCTGATTCTGGGCAGGTGCAGGTCGAGGTCCGATAGGGCCCTACTGCCCTGGGCCTCCTGCCTGCTCCTCGTTTCCGTATTTTCCGCATCCTCCGCGTCCTCTGC